TTCCTATTGGGCCCAAAGGCTGAGAGAGAGCTGCTGGGGCCCCAGAGCCAGCTGGGCAAAAAGCAGGAGTGTTTTCCATTCCACAAGCTCACGTCTGAAAGGCCTTTAAAGAGCCCCATGAAGCCGCCCTTCATTTCACCACCAGGCCCACCGAGGCCCAGGAGAGGAGGACTTTCCTTAAAGACACACCATAAAGTGAATTGGAAGCAAACCTGAGTTAAAAGACTAGAACTGGGCTGGGGAGATGGCTCAGGGGGTAAAGGTGCTTGCTGCCAAGCCAGATAACCCAAGTTCAATTCCCGGGACCCACCTGGTAGAAGGAGAGTACCAAATCCTGCCAGCTCCCTTCTGACTTCCACACTTGGGTGCACACACACACACACACACACACACACACACACACTCTTTTTTTAAAAGACTAGAATTGGGTAGGCAAGGAAAAGAGAAAGGAGTTTAACTTCAAGACTAGAGGGAGTGTGTGTTAGAAACACTCTGAACTTAATTCTCAGATGAGGTTTTGAAGGTTGAAGCCTTGACTCGCCACGATTCAATTCTGATCTCTTCAAATGGGCTCTGATGCACTCACTGCCCAGCACTCGGAGGCTGTACATCCCTGGAGGGGCGGGACCCAGGGGGGACTGCCAAGCCAGCGCCACCTCACTGGGCTGCCCTACAGAGAGCCTTTTTCTTTGAATTAAAAAAAAATTTTTTTTTTAAAGAAAAAGAAAAGAAAACACAAAAAAACTCACAAAAAAACACAACACACAGTTAACCACCTGTCAGGGCCGAGGATACAATGAGGGCCTTGGAAAAAGAGCTTTTCATGCATGCGTAATATATTTGTTGGGCTATTCACTTAATGAAGCTGATCAATGTGATGGGAGACAATGGTCAAGTTAATCTATTTAGTAAAATGTTTTGAGACTTTCAGGCTACGACGAGAAGGAGGGGGGCCTTTGGCGACATTTTCATTTAAATACCACTCTTCTCTTGGGCTGCACAAGGGGTTCAGGCAATCTATGTGAATATAATTTCTTATAAACGTGTCTTTAATGGGTTTAATTCACCCTTGCCAGCTGTTTGGGGAGCTATTTTGTAAGAGCAAAACAAACGTCGCGGGCCTGGAAAGCTAGTTAAAATTAGTTTCGGTCAGCGAGGCCAAGCTATATTTTCTAGAAACCATCTGCTTGATTGGCACAATAGAAGGATTTTCGAGGAAAAAGAGGGGAGAGGGTGTGAAAGGGAGGGGGGCTAGAATCGGCCGGGCCGCCAGTAGCTCCTTGTGGCCTATTCTAAAGGTGAGCCCCTCAGAGTTGTCTTAATAGAGGTTGGCGCCGCAGTAAAGCTTTCTGGCCCGCGCCGGAGCGCTCACTCCTCGCTCTATCACAAGTTCAGTCAGCTCTCTCTTCTCACTCACTCCCCACCACCCCCAAGCGGAGAAGCCTAGCGGCGGGTGTGATCCCTATCGTCGCCTCCCACACAGAGAACTGCCAGTCTCTCCCGTCTACTGCACTTTCCATGTGCCCCAGAGCCGAGGACCAGAGCCTATGGAATCCGCATCTTGCAAAAGGCTGCCTTAGGGCCCTGCGATCCGGAAGCTGTCTTTCACACGAGCTGGGAAGCTCCTCGCTAGGTGGCCCAGGTTCCTTCGTCAGGACTCTCCCAGGTCGGAGCAGTCGGCAGAGAGTCGGGAGGTTGCAAAGGCATTTGCCTAGCAGAAAGGGACCCTCGGGACGGATTCTCAAGCCCTCCTCTGGCAGCTTTGACTTCTCAGGCCAGGAGCAGAGGCTGTATCTCCAGCAGCCTGTAGCTAGCTGCAGGCAGAGAAGGGCCTGACCCCAAACCCGAGCTCCCACGTTCTCCCTCTCCGATCTTCTTTCTTTTGTTTTGCTTTTTGAGACAGTGTCTCGCTATGAAGCCTTGGCTAACCCGGAACTCACTATGTATACTAGGCTGGTCTCGAACTCACAGAGATCCTCCTGTGATTACTTCTCAAGTGCCAGGATGAAAGGTGTGCATCTTCTTTCCCTGAAAGAGAAAAAGGTAGAAATCTCAACTCAGAATAAAGAACGGGAGTGATTTCTCCGAAATAAACTTGAAGATAACGACATTATAGCGAGTGTCAGGACTCACAAAACCCCTCGCGCTCAGGTCAAATGGCATTAGTCACAGGACTTAGGCGCGGCCGCCCTGCGCGTGGCCCTCGGTGGCCACGAGTTTGAAAAGGCGCGTTCAGAAATCACTTTAAAGTAAGATCCGTTCCTGCAATTTTTTGCTTCCTTAGGATTTAATTTTGCTCTTCCAACAGCGGCCAGTCTCCCCCCACCCTGTTTTTCTCTTTGTCACCAGAGGAATTCTTAAGGGGTCCGTGTGCTTCAGCAAAGGGCGGACCTACCTTACAGTGAGTCAGGGCGGCCTCGTAAAGGCAGAGGTTTAGCTGCCTTTGGGTTGTGGATAAGCAAAACTGTTTGGGGATGTGGAGACGAGTCAGGAGCCTGCCTGGGCAGTGAAAGCCACACCTCCGCGGAAGTAACCTTGGAAAGCCCAGCCTCAGACCCACCTGCTCACTGGCCCTTTCTCCCACCGGCAGAAACCTGGGGATTTCTGCTGGTAGAGGCTGAACTCCCATCATCCGGAGAGGAGGAAAGGCCTTATGCACAGAAACGCCAGCACCTGTAGTCACAACGCTCTTCAGAATTTCCGGGTTGCTCCTGGCCTCTGATGAGGATGGAGGGATGGGGGTGAAGTAAGGAGAGGAGCAGGAAATAAGAAGGGAGGGGAAGAGAGATGGGAGGGAAAGAGGAGAGGGAAACAGAGAATGAAGCAAAGGGAGGAGGAGGAATTTTAGCCTATTTTGCTGAAAGACGTTATAAAAGAGGAACTTGGAAAATTCCTCAGCAGACCTGCCCCCTCGCTCGCACAGGGCCCTGCGGTGCTGTCTTGTTTAAATGGCCACGTTTGAGCTGCTCCTTTCTGGATAGCTCTTCCTCCTGGGTTCGGAAACTCGGGAGTTTCGCCATCTTCAAGCATGAATTCACCCAGAGTCCGGCCCAAACAACTTTCTAATTTGAATCAAGGGAGAGCTTTAGTGCGCTCCGTTCCTGGTTTAATGTGATATAAATTGCAGATGCACTTTCATGAATGGTTAAAGCATCGACATGGCGATCATCAACACAAAACGCCCCGAACAAAACCATCCAGAGAAATAAGGCTGGTTAATAAGATTTTTGAGAAAGCTTTGTGTTAAAAAGCGAAAAGGAAAAGCAGCTGAAAGTGACAGTTAGTTCATGGCTAATAGGATCAGGGCGGCCTGGCAGGGCTGCACACTTCTCTTTGGGGAGGGTTCAATCGCACTAAAGAAATGAATGGGACATTTAACACATCTGTCATCTCGCCGGGCCAGAAACCAGGCAATGGAGGCTCGGAGCCACCTCAGCCCTGGCCCAGGAAAGCCAAAGGAGGCTCACAGGGGTTCTGGTTGGAAAGGCTAGGTACACATTGGGACATTTCCCCCAATGTGTACCTAGATCTTCCAGGTAGTTTTCACACAGTTCTCTCGAGCAGTGAATCCAGAAGCTGGGCAAATGTTCGAGAGTTAAGCGCCCAGCAGTATCTGGAGTTTTGTTCAGACTTTCGAGCGTCCTGGCTTAAACAAAGGGTCAGGATGGTGAGCTTCAGAGCTCCTAAAGGTTGGAAAAAGCGATGCTGCCTGGATTGACCTACCGGAAGGAAGAGCACTTTCAAGGCTGTGAGCCCTTCCTAGGTGGAATCGCTTGTCCAGCTTGGGTCCCAGGTTCTCCAAGGCTCCTCCTCCAAGGAACGTCCCTGCACTCTGAGCAGAGTCCCAACGAAGTTCTCTGAAACACGCACATTCTCTATCTATCTATCTATCTATCTATCTATCTATCTATCTATCTATCTATCTTTCTATTTTTCTCTCCCTTTCTCCCTTTATTTCTCTCTATATACATGTCTCTCTCTATTTCTCTCTCTTTCCCTCTCCCTCCCCTTCCCCCCTACCCATTCCCCTTTCCCTGTCCCTTCCCCTCCACCTCTCCCTCTCCTCCTGTTCCAGGTTATTGGGAGTTCAAGGTGGATGGTGTTACTGTTTCCGCACCCACAAACTCTGAAATTAAACTATTCTACGAAAACGAAAACAAAACAACACCAATACCAACTCCCCTCAAATCTGCCCAAACCGGTCGGAGTGTCGTCGGATAGCACGAGGGCTTCTATTTCCAAGTTTCCCTAAGTGTGAGAGAGGGACTTCCAACCCATCCCGCGCATCTGCTCTACGTTTGCTATTGAGTGAGAAATAGCTGGAGACCAGAGACTTAGTATGTTTCATGCTTAAGGGCTTGAAATTTTCCACACGGCCCCTCACACACAAGGGAGAGTTATTTTACCGATAGCCTGGAGATGTACTTCTATGAATATTTATTGATTTATTTTCTAGGCTCAGCAGGGGGGCGCAAATAAATTTAGTGCGTTCTTTAAATAATTCCTTTTCTATGCGGCAAGATGTCATCTGAAACTTCTAAATAGGCATTTAATTATCCCGGGTGTTGCTTCAGAACAAAAACCCCCAGCGAGAGCTTTGGGGGCTCACTGTATAGTAGAGAGGCCGTCGATGCGCAGGGTTGATGCGCACCGGCCTTTGTTGCCGCCCCATTGTGCGGGCCATGCTTATGAAGACTAATCCAATCATAAATTGCGTCTCTGCACCAATCAGAGAGCCCGGAACCTCCCGCGAATGAAGCCCGAGTGGAGAACTTTGTTGAACTTCATTGTCAGAGCTGTCAGTTTTCAAAGCTCTGGAGCGGGCGGGCCCCTATAAAACCATCTCCTGGACGGGGAGAGCCACAGAGAACTCGCAGACGCCCAAGTAGGACAGTTACCAGGACACTGAGCCGAAGAGGGCACCACGGGAGGGGCGGGAAGCCAGGCGTTTGCCCTCCGGCCACGGGAAAAGGGGCTCCTGCACCCGCCCGGCTCTGACCATGATGTTCCCCGGCCTCCTCGCGCCCCCCGCGGGGTATTCCAGCCTCCTGCGACCCACGCCCACCTTAACACTGCCCCAGTCCCTTCAATCTGCATTTTCTGGCCACTCTAGTTTCCTAGTGGAAGATTTGATCCGCATCAGTCGGCCCCCTGCCTACCTGCCTCGCAGCGTACCCACTGCCAGCCTGTCACCCCCCAGGCAGGAGGCCCCCACAGTCCTCGCTGACTCGGGGACCTCGGACCTGGGCTCTCCGGGGCCCGGGAGCCGGCGTGACAGCTCTCCACAGACTGCCCTCTCCCCTGCCAGCGAGCCCACGTTCTTGAAGTTTGGGGTGAACGCCATCCTCTCATCCGCGCCCAGAAGAGGTAAGTGACAGCCAAGCCCTCGATCACATCCAGCGACCGAGCATCCTTCCGCTCAGTCCTTCACAAACGAGTTCCTCTGAGCTTGTTCGTGCACAGGTCCACGCAGGAACTCAGATCCCAAGGGCCAGGTCACGGATTATGAAATTTAGGTACTGAGGATTTAGGAGGAGGAAAAACCTCCCAATGAACTTGAGCCCCGGGACCACTAAGCGCAGCTACCCAGTCTGGCATGTCAGGGCGCAAGCGCTTTGGTGTCTGCGTTCCCGCCCTCAACACCTAGGAGACTTTTTTTTGCTTTAAATACAGCATGCTTATTTAAACATGTTTAGTGTGTTGGTATATATTATGGTTGGATCGGCAACATCCCACCCCACTCACCCCCATCCTATTTGCCTAAGTCTCTGGAATGGAGAGGGTCCTAAAAAAGGGAGCTAAAGGGATTCACCCAAATAAGACAATGCTACACAAATTTATTTTACTAGGTGAATACGCCTGCTGCAGTGTTAATTATATCTTGTATATGACGTAGTGATCAGGCACATGACCAAATTCTCCCCACCTCCCTTACTAGAAACATCGCCGGCTTTGCTGCAGAGCCCCCCTCCTAAGACGTTCGCCTTTCCTTACTTCGAAGGCTCCTTCCAACCCTTCATTAGATCCTCCTATTTCCCAGGTAGGTCTCTTTCGCGTTCGTTGCTCCAGGCGGGGCAGCCCGCCCCCGTCCGGGCCGTCACTCCCTGCCCCGAAGTCGTATTTCTCCGTCCACCCCTCGGGGTTACTCTCTGGTTCAGAGGTTGCGAGGCGTACAACATTCACGAATCCGTCGCGCCAATTTGATACCCCATTTAGCACAAGCAGTGACTGCTTGACACTACGCACCAATTCCCTGCTCTACAAATTAGCAAGAATTGTCATGGTCGGCATTTGAGGCGGTTCCCTTCCCGGCGAGGAGCTGTTGGCATCCCTTCACGCCGCCGTTTCCCACAGAGTCGGTGCACTTGGCCACCATTCGCCACAAAGGTCTCAGCACCGTGACCAATTGGCCAGCTCCTCCGGGCAGCCACACGCAGACCGGCCCTCGCCCCTCCACGCCGCCAAGAAACACCTACCAGCCGCGGCTAATTTCCCTTTAACACTCATTCAGGGCTGGGTGGGTTTTTTGTTTTTGTTTTTGCTTTTCCACCAGACCGCATGGCATACCCTCTTGTGTGGGATGCCTGGGGTCGCCCCGGGGTAGGAAGCAACGATCCTCCTGCGACCTTAACCTTCTCCTGCCAACCTGATTTCCCAACCCCATATCTTGCCCGCGGGCTCTTTTTGAGAATAAAGAAACACTTGGCAGAATCCGGCACTGGGTACTCGTCCACAGGCGAAGCACCCTCAAAAGTTTTCATCCTGGGAATTTTTGAGTGTTCAAACGTCAGCTAGAACGCTTTACAGCTGTTTAAAACTCAGAAAGCAGGGAAGCCCTTAGATGGTGACGAGTGGGGGCTGGGCATGACCAGGACAGAATTCCCAATAACAGCAAAAGAAACTAGCGACGGATTTTTTTTTAAAAGTGTGGGGGGGGGGCGGAGAAACTCCCCATCACCACCATTCAGGCTTTTGCCCACAATGGAATTTGCTCCTTTCTCCCGCGTCTCAATGGCCTAACAAAAACAACCCGAGCTTTATAAATAGCTTTTCGTGTCCATTTAATGTGAAAGATTGGGGGTAGAGAAGCCTCTACCATCACTGCTCCCCCTATGGTCTCGGCCTGCAGTTGTGTTTAGCTTGAGTGTAAATCTCTTTTGTCCCGGTAATATATGGCTCTCGCTGCTTGTCCGTAGCCTTTTGCGGTTAGTTCATTACTACACAATTACCATTCACGCTTCGTTAGCGTCTCTGTTTCTTTTTGTTTTTCTTTTTCTCTCCCTTAAAGTGAAACTCTCCCCCTTTTTATAGCACCAATTCCCAGTGGGAAGCGGTCAATGTGCTAATTAGACGCCACTTTCCTTGTATTCAGGCCGATTTCTTTACGTTGTTGGGGGGGGGGAGGCAGAAAAAAATCATATTAAAAAAAAAAAAGATGAATGACTGGATTAAGTCAAAGCGGATTTTCTCCTGTCCGCCAAACCAGCAAAGTACCTTGTTTTAAAAAATACACACGTCACCAAGGTGATTGCGAATCCGTGGGTCTTAGAGGGAACGCCAGTGTGTGTTGCGTGGTCTCTGAGGGATTATTTATTTTTATTTTTGAAATTTACTTTATTCTGTTGCTATTTAAGCTGGTTGGTGCGTCTTGAATGGTAGGGGTTGGGGGAGCAACAGGCGATTGTGGCCTCTGTTTTCGTGGTTTTTCCTAATCCGGGTTTGCACGGTTGAAAGGGAAAGTTATTTGTGCGGAAAGCGCCTTTCACTCGGGCAGGTTGTAGGTTCTCGGTCTATTCTCTACCGGGAGAAAAAGGAGTGCTTTAAAGAGATGAAGGGACCCGAGAGAAAGGGAGGGAGAAAGCCAGGGAAAACTGCTTCGGGGAGGTGGAGGCTCCCGCTCTGCAGGACACCCAGCTCACTCGTCACCTCCCCCACCCCGCAGCGTCCTCCAGCGTGGTGCCCATCCCCGGGACGTTCTCCTGGCCGCTGGCCGCTCGCGGGAAGCCTCGCCGGGGCATGCTGCGCAGAGCTGTGTTCTCCGACGTGCAGCGCAAAGCCTTGGAGAAGACGTTCCAGAAGCAGAAATACATCAGCAAGCCGGACCGGAAGAAGCTGGCGGCCAAGCTGGGCTTGAAGGACTCGCAGGTGCTCGCGGCCTCCACCGCCCCACCCTCACACTCCACCCTAACCCGTGCCAATCAATTGCAAGAACTCTCTCCGGCTTAGACCCGCAGTGCAGCTGGGGAAACCTAGGCCTGGCGGAGGAGTAAGCATAGGAGCCAAGTTATTTGAGGCTCCCCAGAGCAGCCTGCTTCCCCACTCCCATTTCAGTAGACCGAACGCCCCCACCCGCTCAACTGAGTCAAGTGCCGGAGGAGAGGGTGGATGGAGGGGTAGATATATGGATGGAGAAATGCATGTGCATAGATAGGTGTGTATGCATGGATAAGTGTATGCAAAGTTGGGGTAGGTGAATGGATACATGAATGGGAACATGGATACATGAATTGGATACATGCATGGATGAGTGGATGAATGGATAGGCCGAATATATGAGTGCCAACATTCCTGGATGGGAGGGTGGGTAGAAGACGGAGCAGGAGAGAAATGAGGAGCTACAAGGTTAGTAAGGAGTAACTCCGAAGAAATCACCTTGAAGGCAAGAAAGACAGCTCCCTCCCCCGTGTTCCCAAGCCTGGGTCCGGAGGGCTATGTCGCGCCCCCCGCCCCCCCGCGCGCCCTCATCCCCACCTCCCCACCCCCCACCCCCGCCTGGCAGTCCCGCCCCCCCGCGCGCCCTCATCCCCACCTCCCCACCCCCCACCCCCGCCTGGCAGTGAGCACACTCTGACTGGCTTCCCTGTTCTTCCCTCACAGGTGAAAATCTGGTTCCAGAATCGACGCATGAAGTGGCGGAACTCGAAAGAGCGCGAGCTCCTGTCTAGCGGGGGCTGCCGAGAGCAGACCCTTCCCACAAAACTAAACCCTCACCCAGACCTTAGCGACGTAGGCCAGAAGGGCCCTGGGGATGAGGAGGAAGACATCCCGGGTCCCTGCCTGGCCTACCATGTGCCCCCTGACCCTCGACACCTGCTGGAAGGGCCCCTGCCGGGCTCTCCTGCGCACTCCAGCAGTCCGGGGAAACCCTCGGACTTCTCTGATTCCGATGAGGATGAAGAGGGTGAGGAGGACGAGGAAATCACCGTGTCCTAGGAGCCCCTCTGGCTCCCGGCTCCCGGACTGCTGCGATTTTAAAATTGGAGAGGGAGCGCCCACTCAGTGACTGCCTCTGTACAGGAGCCTGGACGCTGCCTCTTGTCACCACAGACCCACTACCTTCTCAGGGGTGCCACAGCCCTTTCCGCTGTCCCAAAGAGACATTTCCTTGCTCCATGATGCCACCTCCAAACAGTCTTAACTCCCACAAGGGCCACATGGTGTCTATTTATTGCAAACTATTTTAGACAGGGTGTGCAGGGGTGTGTGTGCGTGCGTGCGTGTGGAAGGGCGTCTCTAGTCCCACCGCCCGGGGTTACTGTGAGCCAGGTCCTGTCAAACACCAAGCCTGTGACCCCAGCCTCCTAGATGGTCATCTTCCTGCAAGGAGTAGCAGCCAGTCGTTCTGTTTTCTCACCATGAGAGTAGAGAGCACAAGAAATTCCAAAAGAGAATGAATGAGGGCACAGTTATGCCTTCCCACCTAAGAGGAAAGCACCAGCCAGCATGAGCATCTCACCTCCGTCCTGATGCTCCTTTGGGGGAGGAAGTGATTTCTCTCTGTAGAGAAGAGTGTGTCTCTATTTCTATTTGATTCTGAAACATTTCGCTTCCTCCACACGTAGAACATGTACACTCAGGACTCTGCTTTGTGTCCTTTTGTTATTTTTTTTGGGGGGTGGGGGGGTTTGCAGGCTGCCAAGCTGCAGGCACTGGGGTGTGGACTTTTGTGCCTCTTTGATATTTTTTTTTCCTCACAGCTTTGCTGTCCGAGCAGCTTTTATGAGCTGTGCTCTCCTGTGTCTATATATTTTGTATGGATATTTTATACTGAGGTTATTGTGAATGGCCAGAATGAAGGGCTGGCTACATCTCTCTCATTATTTTTCTCTGCAATGGTCTTTAAAGTTTAAAAGATAGCTGTGTAACTTCATAACTTATAAGGAAATGCTTATTTTGTATTTTTTACCATGTACAGAGCTTTTATATATGTATATATGTATCAAATGAACAAATGTCAAATAAAAGGTAGAATGGATTGGATGGCTGAAGGGCATCATTAATTCACAGAATGTGAGAGCTGAAAGGAACAGAGTTGGTCTGGTGGATACCCAGAGGGTAAGCTATTCTAACAGCTGTGTATGCTAACTGACAAGTAACAACCCCAGTCAGAGGGTTCCAAGAAGTTGAGTTTGCAAGGATCCTCCCGTTCTTGCAGACTCAGTGATGGGCTGCAAGCAGTCAGTGCGGTGCAGTCTCCCCAGACTGCATGTGGTTTGCATGTTCCCCCTTGGAAGGGGGAATCTTTTTTAGTCCTCCAGAAGGCTTGAGAGCTAGTCCTGACTCTTCTCATAAGGCCTAACTCTATCAGGAATGTCAGCCACAGTCACGGCCTGTGAGCCCAGATGCAGTTCCAGGCCCTGGGGTCTGGGAGTGAAAGGGGCAGCCTGATGACCCCTCCCAGCAGCAGGTGCTTCTTAGCCATCCCCTAAGAGAAAGGGGCTCTGCATCAGAGTCTTGGAGGGGGCTTTTGGGCCCCGTGAGAGACTAGTCTCTGTCCCATGCGCCTCAGACCTACAGTTCTTTGTGAACTCCTAACTCAAACCTGGATGGTCAGAGAAGTCGCCAGACTCCAGTGGGGCCCTTTGTATGATCATTGAAATGTGAGGCCCTTTGTATGATAATTGAAATGTGAGCCCATTCTCCCTCTTCAATAACACAAACTCCATGCTGACTTCTTCAGCGCTGACCTCCTGACCAGGTTGGTGTACACATAGCCCTGAGAACTTGGAGAACAGAAATGCGCTTGTCTTGATAATGATTCCAACTCAAGAAACCTCCCAAGTCTCCTCAACATGTGGTCAGTGTTCTATTCAAGTTTCTTTGAGGCAGGGATTTCTCTACTGTGGCCCACACATTCAGAGGTGGAGAGTCCGGCCAGAAACGGCTGACTTTTCCTCCCTGTCAGCCTGAGCCCACAGCCAGCTATGAGAAGGCTTTAGTGTTTGTTGCTGGAGTTCAAGCACTCAGGAACGCCCTGTACTCACTGTGGCAATGCACCGCAGCCGGGGGCGGGGGAGCAGCTCCAGTGCCCACCAGAGCAGGCATTGGCCAACAGTGTGGTTCACAGAGCAATGGGATATTACTCACCCTTTAATAGGAAGGGAGTCCTGTCACTGCTTCAATGTGGATGAGCCTTGAGGGCATTATGCTAAACCACAGCCATGTGCAAAGTGACATGCTGTAACTGCATTCCACGAGGAATCCAAAGTTTGTGAAATCTACTGAGAGTAGGTGTGTGGTCTCAAGAGACTCGTGGAGGAAAAACAAAGGGGGTGCCATTCAACCAGTCCACTGAGTTCCAGTTTCACAAAACGAAAAAGTTTTAAAGATCTGTTGCATGGTAACGTAAGTGTAATTGACACTGCTTGATTATATAGCTAGTAATGGTTGACACAGGACTGCACACACTCAGTCTGAAAGCTACCTGCCACATAAGCCTGAGACAGTTTGGATCCCGAAGACCCACGTAAAAGGTCAGGCATAGGGGTGCAGGCCTGTAACCCCAACCTTGGGGTGATAGAGACAATGAGACCCCAGAAGCTCATCGATCAGCCAGCCTAACACATCCATGAGCTTAAGGTTTAGTGAGAGGGCCCGTCTCAAAAAGTAACAGTGAAGAGAGATGGAAGAGAAGAACAGACATCAGCTTCCATACCTATCTGTGCACATACATACCACACATATGAGAGGGGGGGGGATGGGGAGGGGGAGACAGAGAGAGAGGGTGCTGAGTGCCATAGTTAACAGGAAGCCTGCAGCAGCAGTATACACCCCTAATCCCAGCATGGGAGGCTGAGGCAGGAGGATGGCCAGAGTTTGAGACCGACCTGCACTGTGTAGTGAGTTCAAGACCCTGTCTTAAGACATAAAATAAAGGTTGTTAAAATGGCAACTATTATAGATTTTTTTTCCCATGGCAATTTTTAAGTTTCAGAATATAATTTTGGAAGCCAGGCATGGTGGCACATGTCTGTGATACCAGTATTCTGGAGGTGGAGGCAGGAGGCTCAGAGTTCAGGGGTAATGTTAGCTATATAGCAAGTTCGAGGCTGACCTGGGCTGTATGAGATTCTGTCTCAAAAAAGAAAAAAAGTGAAGTAACTTGGAATAAATACTCACATATTGAAGAAATGAAGATTCTGAAATATCAAGCTAGCGAGATGGTTCAGTTGGTAAAGGGTGCTTGCTGCCAGCCCAGCGACTTTAGTTCCATCCCTGGGACCCACTCAGTAGAGGGAGAGCCAACTCCTGTAAAGTCTCCTCTACCTCTTCGTGCACGCCATGGTACACGCGCGCACACACACACACACACACACTAAATGAATTTTTTTTTTAAATTCAGCAATGTATTAGTCAAGGTGTCTATCTCTTGAAGCAAGTAGCATTACAGCAGACAGAAGTATTTTAAAAATATTAATAAATCATATTGAGATCAAAGAATTAATAATAAGTGCTAAGAAAGTCCAGAAAAGAGAAAGGAAATACCCAGCGATCTTCTGAAAGGTGTGTGCTCCTCCTGCATGCACAGAGCCTGACTCACTGAGACATCCAAGTGGCCTGTTTTGTGTTGTCTCAGTGTCTCTCATGACTGAGCATCACAAGGGGACTGTGCCAGCTTCACATGTCTCCACCTGGTGTCGGTGATGCCTCCTCATACACAGTAGGTTGTTGCTATATGCCCAGTGTGGAAATGAACGAAAGAAAATAAGGGACAGACACACACGGATCCAGACCTTAGGCCTGGGAGTCACAAGGCTTTGAGGCAAACCAAGGGATTAGTTAATAAAAGAAAACAGGGGCTACAGAGATGGCCCAGTGGTCTTGCGGAGGACCTACATTTGATTCCTAGTATCCACATGGCAGCTCACAGTGATATGTAACTTCACTCTCAAGGGATCCCATGCTCTCTTGTGGCTCTGAACACATCAGGCATGCACATGGCACACATCTAGGCAAACCTTTATATAATAAAGCACACATAAAATAAATCTTTAAAACAAAAAGAAAGATACTAAATAATGAGGAAGTTATTTATTATTTTGTTTTGAGACAGGGTCTCACTATGTAATCCTAGCTTGCCCAAAACTCAGTATATAGACCAGGCTAGCCTCAAATTCAAGAGATCCCACTGCCTTTGCCTCCTGAGTGCTGGGATTGTTTTTGCTTTGAGTCTCATTCTGTAGCCCAGGCTGGCTGTCCTCCTTCTTCCTCAGCCTCCCCAGTACTTGAGTTACAGGTGCGCACCTCTATACCCACATGTAGTCGGATGTTTCTGTGGTCCTGCCCAGCCCTGTGGTCCAGATGAGTCTCTGTCACCTGTGTCTTGCCAGGCCCCACAGTCGGTCCAGCAGCTGCTTATAAAATAATCACTCAGAGGCTTAATATTATTTACAAAATGTATAGTTTATGGCAGGCCTCTTGCTAGCTAGCTCTTATATCTTAAATTAACCCATTTCTATTAATCTATGTTTTGCCACGTATTCCGCAGCTTCACCGGTCCGCTGGCATCTTGCTTCTCCTTTGGCCGTGGCTGGCATCTGTACTGCCTCTGCCTTTCTTCTTCCTGTCTCTCTCCTTAGATTTTCTGCCTGCCTCTAAGCTGCCTTGCCATAGGCCAATGCAGCTTTATTTATCAGCCAATCACAGCAACACATATTCACAGCATACAGAAAGACATCCCACAGCACCCATGTTTAAGTCTAACCCACAAGTCTAACTGCTTGTTTCCATGACAAGCACACATCCCATTAGCTGCTGTCAGAAGACATCACACACGGAGCCTCTTCAAAAGTTCACTGGGGAACTGGACTCACAGGCTCCCAGTCCTGCTGTGAGAGCTACAGAACAGATGTGAAGGGTGGGAGGAAAACATCAGGCAAAATTCCTGCCAGCTTTCCAAAATCTGCTGCAGCTGTCTGCCGCACATGTGCCTC